GCACCTCTTCCAAGACTTTCTGCGAGTGCTGGGTATCTTCAAGCTTGTGCGCAAGGCGTCGACTTCCACGAGCGCGCCGTCCAGCTGCTCGTTAAGAAGCTCGATGCGGCGGCGCTGGTGCGAGCGCTTGGCCTCAAGCAGCGCATTCTTGCGAGGCCGCTTAGTGAAAGCGGCCGCAAGGCAGGGAGCGTCCTTGTCCGCCCACGCGGCAGGCTTTTCCAGAAGCCATGCCTGCACGCATTGGAAGGCCTTGGAGGAAGTCATGATAAGTGGCTGCGCGGGTTTTTAAGTCCATTCAAGCATTTGGGGCCATTCGAGCTTCGGCGGGCTTTTTTTCTCTAGCGCGTGTCCAAGATCAGCGCGCTTGCTTGCGAAGATCTCTGTTCTCTTCCTTGAGGAGATCCTTATAAAGGAGCACGATGAGACGCCGGTAGTACAGACGCTCGGCCTTGAGCAGTGCATCCTTGCAAGGCCGCATGTAGCCGCTGGGCCATCAAAGCAGCCGCAAGGCAGGGAACGTCCTCGTTCGCCCACGCGGCGGGCATGCCTGCACGCATCGGAAGGCCGCTGAGGAAGTCATGATAAGTGGCTGCGCGGGTTGCATTTGGGACCATTTATGCATTTGGCGGGCTTTTTTTCTTTAGCGCGTTCCCCTTGCCCTGTCCAAATCCTCCTCAAGCTCATCAACGCGCACCTCCGCCAGCGCCGCTCGCTCGCGAAGGTCTTCGTTCTCTTCCTTGAGGACCTTGACGCGGCGCTCCAGCCGGAATGTCGATGCTGCGCTCCGCTCCCCAACGCGCTCTTCCGCCATCACCGCTCGCGCACGCTCTTGCGCGACGATCCCGTTGCGGTGGTCCAGCCACCAGCGGAGAAATCTGTTGTTGCGCTCCCGCTCCTCGCAGCGATATTCGGCGTGGATCTCCTCATAGAGGTGATCGATGAGACGCCGGTGGTACAGACGCTCGGCCTCAAGCAGCGCATTCTTGCAAGGTCGCATGGGAGGCCGCTGGGCCATCAGAACGGCCGCAAGGCTGGGAGCGTCCTTGCCCACCCACGCAGCGGGCTTCTCCAGAAGCCATGCCTGCACGCATCGGAAGGCCATCGAGGAAGTCATCTGACAGTCTACGCCCAGCATCGGCTCAGCCGCAGCGGCAGTGTCGGAGCGGGCCCCAGAGGCGGGGGCTCCACAAGGAACTCCATCACAAGGTCGAAGGGCGCGGAGCCTGGCGGAGCGTAAGCGCCCAGCATCCGCAGCTGCTCCAGGTTGCGCCAGTGTCCCAGCGGGCGCGAGTTGTGAGCGTCGAGGCCGTAGACCTTGTCGTTGAAGGGCGAGAGGGACTTCTTCTCGACGCTGCCTTCCTCCAGCACCTCCCTGTACTCGAGATGCCGGACGTTGGTCACTGCCTTCTTGGGCACGCCCTTGATCTTGCGCTTCTCCTTGCGCGCGCCGTCGGGCTGGACCGTGAGGATGCTGTACATCTTGGAGCGCAGGCCCACGTACTCCAGGATCCTGGCGGGGAAGGTCTCGTCGCCGAGCTTGCCCAGCTGGCCCATCACCTCGATGGCCTTGGCGCGCGCCGCTGCCGAGAGCGCGGCCACGTCGAAGAGCGGGTCCTGCAGCCGAAGATCTGCACCATCACGGAGTCGGTGTCCGTGAAGAGCAGCCTCATCTTCGGGAAGAGCCTCCTCATGTGGAGGTAGTAGGCCTTCTCCATCATGAGCTTGGAGAGCTGCAGCGTGCGGGCGCCGACTTGGGTGGGCACGCTCATGCAGGCCTTGCTGCGGTTCGTCTTGAGCGTCTCCACGAAGGCCAGGAACCCCTCCGAGTCGTTGATCTGGAGCTCGAAGTTCGTCACGGAGCTCTTGCCCACGGCCCGCTCGAACTTGGCCGGGTCCACGTAGGCGTTCGTGTTCCTGAACTTGTCGGGGTTCATGCAGCAGCGGCCGAAGATGGCGTTCTGGGTGAGCTTCACCACCTTCTCGGCGACCACGCTCCCCGCCGCCTTGAGCTGCCTCCGCTCGCTGTGCTTGAGCTCCATGAAGCCCGCCATGAAGGGGCTGCAGGCGAAGCGGTAGGCTCTGTGCAGCCTCCAGATCCTGGCTCCCAGCACGTCCCTTGATTTCCGGGCGGGTCACCTTGTGTTTGGCCCTGCGCTCGATGTTGCGCAGAGCTATCTCGGCCATTTCGGGGTCGGAGTGGGCAAGGTTCGGCGCCACCTGCGTGGTGGCGTGCTTCCTTCCGTTGATTTGGTTCAAGATGTCGGGCAGCGTGAGGTGCCACTGACCCCGCCGGCCCGCTCCGGCTGCTACGCAAGCAACATGGCCTCCTTGATGGTGCGGATGGTGCGCTCCGCAAAGTAGGCGTGGCCCCTGGTCAACTTTTTTTATGTCCCAAAAATCCATCAGCTTCTTGAACTCCCTCTTGAACTCGGAGCCGTTGTCGGAGTACACGTTGGCCGGCACCCCCAGGGTTTGGAACACCTTCTTCAAGACGGTCCTTCAGTGGCTCAGCGTCCACTTTGTTGGTCAGCGCGTCGACGGCCACCAGCATAAAGGGGCAGGGCTTGCCCCCGAAGGCCTTCATGTCGGCCAGGTCCACTGTGGGCACGAAGCCGTTGTATATCTGCGGCCCTGGTTCACCCGGAGGCCGTCCAGAAACGCCTTCGCTTCCTCTCTAAAGATGCTGGGGTTGCCGTCGCTCCACCGGCTGGTCCTCGTTTCAGGTTCTTCCACTGTTCCTGCAAAGTCGTCTAGCCTTATATCGCCGTTCATGTCGGGGCGCTTGTAGTGCTTGGCCTCCACGGAGTCGAACAGCTGCAGCAGCTCCCCCACGTCGGATTGGGCAATCTCCGTCTCACCCAGCTGTCCGACAAGTCCGTGAAGCTTGTGTTGCAGACCACGTTGCCCGTGTTGCCGGCGATCGCCAGGTAGCCGATGTTCCTCCGTCTGCGCCAGCGCCTCGTCGTTGATCATGATGAGCTCGCACTGGTGCGCCCCGCCGTCCCGCTCCAAAAAGACCCGCGCGCTCTGGTTGCCCAGCAGCCGCAGCTCCGAAAGCTGCTAAGGGTTTTCTTTTCCCTTGTGTTTTAGGTCTGGAGTGAATCTCCTACGCCGCTGCCGTTTGGTGCTCCTAGCCCTCAAACTCACGTTTAGGACTCGCAGTCCTGGTTTCGATTGAAACCCACCCACCCAACCCTTCTAAGCCCTAAGTACGCTTAGGCTTCCCGGTCCTCCAAGCTTTGGAGTCCCCCACGGAAAAAACTAGGAGCTCTCTCCCCGCCTTTCATCAGGGCCCAGACCCGCGGTCTGGCCCTGTGTGCATCTTTGGGCTCGCTGGGCCTCTGATGCAGGCGTGGGCACGCATGCCGCGCCTTCATTCGGCACTTTTAAGCAAGGACACGCATGTCTTGCGACCTGTTTCACAGGCGGGGGGGGAATATCTCGCCCCTTGTCCTAGGGGAATATCTTGCCCCTTGTCCTAGGTGCACCGCAGTGCCCTAGGAAAGTGCTACCTTCCCAAGCGGGGGGGGAATATCGGAATATCTTGCCCCTTGTCCTAGGTGCACCGCAGTGCCCTAGAAAAAGTGCTACCTTCCCAAGCAACCCGGTAAAAAAGGTGTGCGCCTTGCGGTCGGCTTTTGGGTTCTGGGTTTTTGGTGATTTGAGGCTAGGAGCAGTGCGCGGGACCTTTAACGGAATTTCGAAAGCTCTTTTGACCTTAAAACTGCTTGTTTCAGATTGACACGTTTGTGTCATTCTAGCGATGGTGTTCCTTGCAGTGTTCCTTTTGTGTGATATTGCTCGGCCTGGTAGCGGGTTGATCCGGTGATGTTTGTGGTTTTGGCGTGTCTTTCGTCGTGACGCCGGGTATTAATTTATTATTGTAGTATTATGTGTGGCGAGTCATCATGGATCTGTGTGCCTTTATCATGTCGACATTCGAGCCTTGTTGTGTATGTATATTTTACACCTTGGTGCGCTTGGTTTTGTGCTGTTGTTGGCAGTCTTCCTCTGTTTGTTTTCGCTTTTGAAAGAAACCTTGGTGTGCGTTTTGTTCTGGTCTGTTGCTTGTGGCTTGGTGTGGCTGCGCATGTTTTCCTAAGATGTTGGTGGCCTTGGAAGGGTTCTTTGTGGCCCGTGAGTCGTTGTTGTTTTTGTGATGCTGTTGGTGGCCGTGGTGATTTTTGTTGCTGGCCGTGGTGATGTTTGTTGCTGTGATGCGTTGGTGCCCCTTGTGTGGCTCATGGCCTGCGGTGTGTGTGTGTGTGTGTGTGCTCTTCTTGCGATGTTGTCCGTAACCCTGCTGTGTTTGTTTGTTGTTGTGGCCTCAGTGTCACCATGTGTTCTTGTGGTGTTGTACGTGCAAGCAATGGGCGTAGGTCGAAAAACCGTGACCTAGAGGCTGGTCACCTCAGCGCATGAGGCGTTTGTACCTGTTAGTGACAATGAGACCTGAATTATGAGGTAGTAGACATGAGAATCCGGCAGCAGACAACATACACGCCAACGCACACTGCATAATCGGTAGCCATGGAGCCAACCGAACAAACACGCAAGCAAACAAAGCAAACAAACAAACAAGCAAGCAAACAAAAAAACAAACAACCGCTTATGAAAGTTTGGCCAGAAAACTTCTGGTGCTTGGAGTGGCACTTTGTCGGGGGTTGGTTCAAAAGGAACTCAAAAAAAAACCCGTTTTGCTGGCGGTTTCTTTATCTGAGACAAACCCATTGGCAAACCATGTTTACCAGCGAATAGAACCATTTCGGAAACTTTGCAAACATTTTGGCAATGAGCAGTCCGACAATCTGCTTGCAAACGGTTTGAGCCGGTGAGGTGGCCAGGCTTTCCGATTTCAGGTTCAAGCCTCTCCTGTCGAAGCCTCATATGGATATATTTTTGGGCAATGCTCTTTCCCCAATGAGCAAGTGCTGCATTTTTTGCAAAACCCAGGGACAGATCCGCGAAGACAACCCGCGCCGACGGACCGAAATCGAGCCATGTCGCGGCCTGGGGGCATGGACATTTCCAAGCGCCTCGGTTTGACGCGCGCATGGGTGACCCCAACATGGTGCCGTCCTGTTGGAAATTCGTTGACACACAACCCCCAAAAGAGGGGTAGCCGCATTTCATCACATGCCATGGAGCTTCCGACACATGTCCTTTTGCCAGCCATGAGTCGTGGTTCAGTCGCTCTGAAGTTTGCCAGGTGGAACATCATCTACCCCAATTACATCAATTCAAAGAAGACCGTCCAGGAGGGCCGACGCGTGGGCCTGGAGAAGGCGAGGAGTGGTTGGATCCATTCGAATTCGAATTCGCTGAGTTGGGAGGGTTTTTCGGGTGGACACTTTTTGGGCCTTAAGCCATATGCGACGTGCATTCTGCCCCGCAATGGTAATCTCGTTCTCGCAAAACACATCACACCCTGCCATTTTGTAATTATTGATCGAACAAAACATGATATATATATATATATAATTTTTTTGCATGCATACTCATAGGAGAGAGCAAGAGAGAGAGAGAGAGAGAGAGAGAGAGAGAGAGAGAGAGAGAGAGAGAGAGAGCGAGACAGAGAGAGAGAGAGAGAGAGAGAAAGAAAACAAAACAAAAGCAACAACAACAACACATGGTAGAGAGAGAGAGAGAAAGACATCTGTTTTTTCAGTTTTTGTTTGCCGACTCCCGCATGAGGCCTGCGAGCACCCCAGGGCTTTTGAGATGGCCGAGGTTTGCGAGTGCCCAACAAAAGAAGGGGGTGTTGGGGTCGCTGGAGGGTTGGGGAGATGTGGCTTGCAAAAAAGTCTCAGGTTCGTTTGTCAAGTCTGTTTGGTTGGTTGGTGAGAGTTGTGAGGTTTTTTGCCCCAGGTTTGTTTGGGGCTCGGAGAAAAGGGCAGTTTTGTTTCTCCACAACCAGGGGGGAAGAAACCCCATAGTGGGCAACATCGTATTTCGGCCGTGGAGGACTTGGTGGTACGGGGGGGGTCATGAGGATCCAGATGTGAGGAAGCCTCATGTTGACGCAGCATTGTCAACTAGCAATGCGATCCTTACGAAACCGGCGGACGTCTTCCGTACGAAGATCTGTTTCCATGATGGTTCTGACCTGTGCTGTTGACAATATTGTGGGCAATCTCTTGCAATATTGTGGCCGGAACACCGAAAGACTCCGTCAAATCCTGGTGGAAAGGGGGGGACAGATTCTACCAGTCAAACATTGTCTATTGCTATTTGCGCGTGTCATTTTTTGTTTAACCTTCTTCTTTTGGCTTTTTCCAAGACACAAACTGAAGCGGCACCACCCATTTGGGGTGTTCCAATGGAATTGCGCAGGTACTTGAAGATTCCGCACGTTTGCGAACCGGACAAGGCCGCGGGCGGCCGCGTGGTTGTGTTGTTGCTTTTTTGGTTTACCCTCCAAACCGCTGCGGCTTGCTAGAGCATATTGGATAGGACTCTTCATGCGAGTGACTGAGGGTTTTGTACCTCTGGGTGTTACGCGGATCCTGATGTACAGCAACCCACTAAAACCGACCTCCCGCCTCGAGGCTTACCCCAGGGACTGGCTGATCCGCGGCCGCGTCCGCATCCTGCTCGGGGCCTGGAGGGAGGCGACACCTTGATACTCTTGAAGTGCGTTTGGGTCGTTAGAATCGGAGCTTGGACCTCCCCAAGGTGGCTTTCCTTTTGGGTTTTGGCTCCAACACAAAAACCACGGGGCCGGACCCCACAGCAAGAGGTCATGGAGCCAATCTCAGAAAGGCTCGCCAAACTGAGATTTGCGCTGGGTGGTCGGAAATGCCGGTTTTTGATGTTGGTACTGCATGTACGACAGGCAAGATGCACCTTTACGTATTTTGTTGCCACCCACTGAGACCGAGAATCAGTAGAAAACAGACAGAGCCGAGAAGGAGGTGTTGCTCGGAGACGGGTTAAACTGAAATTGGGGTGTCTCCACATGGGAACAGTTGGGATGGGGGGAGGGGGTTCTCTTAGTTCCCTTTCAAACAACCCAAGAAGGGTGCTAACTGTCAAAAAGGCATACCGCATGGAGTTTGCCAAAGGCAGTTCACCGAGCAGCCTCAAACTGGGAATTTTGTTGCAATAATAAAACAAGGTCGGATTGGTCAACTGAATGTGGAACACCTCCCTTTCTTGGTTTGCCTGGCCCTTGCATTTTCTGGCGAGGTGTCCGCGCTGTTTTGCCTTTCCGTCTTTATTCACTCAGGGGGTGCCGCTCATTTTCTCAGAGAGGCGCAGTGGGTTGGTACCAACTTCCCGAGCATCAGTGCTCCCTGCGGGGTGGTCAGGCTCAAGACCCCGGAGGGGGCCTTCACGCACCCAGAGGCGTGGAGGAGATCCGTGCGAAAATGTCTTGCCGTTGGTTTGGGGTGCCCCACTCATTCCAGATGTGGGTCATGACTCACCTGGTTGCATGGCGCGGTAGTTGGAAGGCCTTACAGATCGAATGTTGTGCCAAAAGTACCAACAGGTGAAGAACAACCCGGGTGCCCAGCTGGGTCTTTGTGTTTGAAGCAGCATGACTTGTGCTCGTGTCGTTTCGAGCAAAGCCAGATCCACACGAAGAAGGATGTGATGTGCAAGATGGGGGAGCTAATCCCCAAGCCCAGCTCTCGGGAGGTTTGGTGGTAGGGGGAACCCGTGGCGGGGAAGCGGCGGGAAGGTGGTGCTTTAGTGTTCCCACCATCCGGATTCACTCGGTCGGGCATTTTCCAGGCAGGATAGACTGCAACGTGATGCCTTTTTGGCTGCCCCCTGTTTCCTCGTTCCGGATGGCGAGATATGTTCCTAGAGCAGGCTTTGGATGAGCCGCGATCAACTGGTCGCGTGTCCCAGTAGTTGACTCAAAACGGGCGGAGCTGCATCACTCGTTTCCTCGCATGGAGCAATTTTCCTCACCCCCAACATCTTCTGTCAGGTTTGAGTCCCAATCCAAACCAATCCGAAGCATCAATCCACACCACCAATCCACACAACCAATACGATCCAATCCAAACCGCTACTTCGAGGTAAGGCAAAAACTGCAGGGTGAGCGCGTGGTCATTTGATCCGAGTAAAAGTAGTCTCACAGGGCCGAAATGCAGGATTGGGTTTCAGGGGCTTTCCTGAGCTTTGCCCGCAAAAGGTGTTTGACCATCGGCAAACATGGCTGAACAATACTCACACAGAACCAACAGGTACCGAATGGCGACAAAGGCCACACTGCCAACAAGCAAGCAAGCGAGCAAGCCAGCCAGCCGGCCAGCCAGCCAGCAAGCAAGCAAGCAAGCGACCAACAAAAGGACCCACCAAGCCTACAAGTGACCCAACCACCCAACCACCACACCACCCAACCATCCAACCACCCAAACGCTCAACCACCCAACCATCCAACCCACCCCACCCACCCCACCCCACCGCACCCCACCCCACCCCACCCCACCCAACCCAACCCACCCCACCCCCCACCCCCAAAAAATGTAGAAAAGGCTGATTCTAGGGGGTGGGGGGTAGATGGTTGCCTGTTCTGTTTTTTATTTCACAATTCAACACGTGTACCACCTTATTCGTTTTTAAAAGGCTGATTTTGGGGGCATGAAATATCGATATGGATGTGGTAACGAATTGATGATTTTGTCCCCTGTTTCGTTCCAGATTTCAACTTTTAGTTTTATTGATTGAAAGAGGTTAGGACTTTCTGTGGTTTCATGGGTTGGCTTTTGGGCGGTTGTTCTGGATTGTCATTTAATGAAATGTTTATAGGTTAAAAGTTTGCTATAATTATAACATATAATAATATAAATGTTATAATAATATCATAATTAAACAATATGAATACGTATTTAATCTCATCAGAGATACAACCACTATAACAACTCATACCATACTCACAACAATAATGCTTGTATCCTTTTATTAAATGGTCTGTGTAAATTTCAATTAAGTCGCTTAATATGTTTCTCATATAAAAATCATGATTTCTATATGACCACCAATTGTTTAGGTTAGGAAAGAACAAATCACTATTTATGATAAACTTGAATTCTTCAATTTTAAGACAATGTTTTAAAAGTACAGTAACTTCCTCATTATTATTTTTACTGTATGATTTCATTGCTTGAAGCTACATTTTCCTATTCTTAAATCTTTCTTTAACCTCTTGTTTATCAAATATTCTGTCAATGCTTTTTCTGTATTATTTGTTATCATAAGGGATTCCTGTTAGATGTGTAATATCGTTATTTAGCATTTGTTTAATAATCGTTAACTGAAGCTCTGCTTTTTCCAGCCCTTCTTCAGGAATGTGTTTATCACACATAAAATGCTCTTCTTCATCCCTCAAATACCTACAATTAAAACAAAAGTTTTTACTATAATCACTAATAATATTACACACATTAACAGGTAAAATATTTGCTAGTGCTACAACAGACTTACAGTTTTTATTTTTACATGAGCAATTATCATAATTAAATAGTGTCATTGTTTCTCTTAATATATTATTTTTTTTCTTTAAGTAGTTTTTAGCTGGGGGTTTCAGGTTTCATTTAAATGCCTTGTTAGATTATAAAACGTTGTTATAATCATATTATAGTTATAGAATAATATGATTAAGCCTGCTTTCAGTGTTTCCAGTCTCCTATGTTGTTCCAAGAACTGCTTAAGATGTTTCTGATATTATACCAGATTAAGTTTACGTCATAATCTTTCATTGGTGCTCTTTGTTGTATTAAATAACGCAACACTGATATCAAAGTATAATAATTACAATGCATTGTTGTCATTCCTCCTCTTTCATTAATACTATTACCATTATGTTTAACGAGTTCTTCTTTCATTATGTTTTCGTAAATCTCTTTTATCCATTGATGATTTTGTTCTCCATACTCGACGAACATATCTAGATATATACCTTCCATTGTTTTAGCGTTTTTAATTATTTCAATGACTTGTTTATACGATGGATAGGGATTATCCTTAATGAAACTCAATATTATCTTTCTATCCTGTTCCAGCTCTTTTTCTGTCACTCCTATCATTGGCATTTCACTTCTTAATATTATAAGTTAATATTTCTTTAAGTTATTTTATGTTAAGGGGTGGGGAGTTTATGTTGATAAAAATGTGTTCTATCAAATAATATAATGGCAAGATTAACGAAAGACCAAATAATCAGCAACATCTATTATGACTTAGACGAGGGTTTCGGAAGCACACAAGCAACACACAAGAAGGCAAAGGAAGAAGACACAACGATAACATTAGAAGATGTAAAAACCTTCTTGAAGAAACAACGACATAAACAAATCAAGAACTACAGAGGCACTAATTCCTATACCGCTCCGTTTGCTAGGTATGAATATCAAATAGACATAATGCATATGTCACCTTTAGCTAAAGACAAGAACATTCCACAGTATGCTTTAGTCGTGATTGACATCTTCAGTAAGATGCAGATGTAATACCGATGGATGAAAGAGACGGAGAGCACGTTTTGAAGGCA